TGAGAGGCAGCAACTGAAGAGCTCTCTCGAAATGCCACGGATCCAATAAATCTTGCTTTTTTGCTATCTTAAAATTTGCACCTGGGAAATGTTGCTTTGAATAAACGTTGAACGTGTTCAAACCGAAAACCTCGCTGTCCTCATCTTCTGCTTTCTACTCCAAACCCTTCCCCTAGCGTTAATTCAACTCATGGCCTGTGCTCAAGCTGGGAAAGCTCTGGCATACTCGACTTTTCAGGACGAATCCTTGGAAAAGGAACTTAAGCGGACCTACGACAACCTCGTAGCCTCAGAGTGTACCGTTGGTAAGTGCTTTATTTACTGATTGTATCCTACTCATACGCACCGCATCCACTGTGTAGGTTTTCATCCCATGGACTTTTTGCATGACTGTCAGTTGTCTGCAAATGCTATAGAGGGAAGTAGTTTAGCCTCTGGCAGATGGCATCCAAGTATATGATCGGATTGTGGGGCACAGTATAGTTCGCATTGGGAGTGTGGCGTAATAGTTATCAATAAGTTTTACAAAAAAGGCAATGGGAAGTGGCCTGCAGTTCAAAGCACGTTTCTCTTTCTTCCTTATTCATTGACACGCACTGAAACGTTCACCTGACCACTAACGGAACTCGTCTGTGTCGCTCTGCCTTAGATCTAGACAGAGGCCCTGAGGGCCTTAACAGCTGGAAGTAGGCAGATATTATTGTCGGCAAAAACATTGATCGTCAATATTCGCTGACCTAAACCGGCGAGACAACAAGCCCGTGGCTCAATGGTTGCGAGTTCTAGGTTCGGGTGGGACACCACTTGCGTCTGGGTATGGCTGGCTGACGGCGGCTAATGAGCCAGAAATGGCCATTGCAGTCTCTCTTGTCTTTTCTGACAATACTATCTGCCTACTTCCTCGTCTATATTAATAATACTTCACGCCCTAGTCTCCCTATGTAGGTGCATCTTTTTTAATGCAATTTTATTCAACTCAGTAAGCATGGTTTGAGCGTCTAGGACCATATATGGCTCTTTCGATGATCGTGTATGGCTCTTTCAGAAACTTCACGATTTTATGATTTTGGTTACTCTTTAGGGGTCTAAGTAGTGGGTTGTACTTGGATCACTACAATCATCAGGCCAAATCCCAGGTTGGAAGTTAAAAGACACAAGTCACCAGAAGGAGTGATTTGTTATGTACAGAACTCCCAATTGCTGCCGCCACAAACTAGATGCATTGGACCAAGACGGGGGAAATGTCATGATACGGCAGGCGTTCTTTGGGTTGTACTGTCATAAGAAAGGCCGCAAATGGGGGCAGATGCTCGAGGGTACGACTAGGTGCGGGCTCACGCCTCACCAGCAATCCGCACCGGTTCCATTGTAGCGGTCTAACTAGGGTTTATACTCGCAGCACTACAATCATCATGTCGAATCCCAGGTTGGAAGTAAAAAGCTAGAGGCCACCAGAAGGAGTGATTTGTTATGTACAGAACTCCCATTTGCTGTCCC